ACAGCAGCATCATCATCATCATTATCATCCTGTGCGACATAGGCTGACCTCAGTTCTGAAACGGTCATTGCTATTATCATGCCTTTCGAGTCCTCCGTCAGAGCAATACTGTGTTTTTGCATGCAGTTTTACGGCTCTTCTATGCTTCCTGAGGCATAAGGTTAACAAGAAGTGATTTGACCTTGTTTACGCAACTTGGTGGTGTTATCAGGGCGCCCGAAATGAACATACCTCCTAAGATATGAATAAAAACTGGGCTTCGAAGACTAACTTAGTGATATATTGTGACATGAACTTTTATTTCAAGGGAAAAGTTGGTTAGAAGGAGGTCGTCATGTGGTCTCACCGGAGATCAAAGAAGGATTGCTATGGAGTGAAGACTGTTGGATCGTGGGAAAAAGTCGCAGCTCAGCGTCCTGCGACTCCGATGAATTTGTGTTAAACTTTCATCTATTCTGTGACAAAAGTAATTAGAGGAAGGACCCATACTTTACGAAATAGCTCAACATTATGCTTACCCAAGAGAAAAGGTATATTTTAATATATTTCATAAAGTCTGGATTCTTGCTCTGATAATTTCTGTTACAGTACAGATAAACGTTTATCATTAGATTATCAGAATCGCAGGACGGTGAGTCGAGGACTTTTCCGCACAATCCAACAATCGTCAGTTCGTACCAATCCTCCTTCGGTTTCTGTTGAGATCATCTCACAAGTCTCTTTTAAGCAACTTTTCCTTCGAAATGGAAAGTCATGCCAAAATGAACAAGCCTCGTCTGAAATCTCTACTCTTGTAGCCCTTACAATTCTAGGCGTCAGACTGTGGACTTGCTACACTTCCGGAAATTTCGCCGGCGTCTACAGTGAGTCTTGCAAGTCATAGCACTAAGCTACAACTCGTCAAAGAGACAAGTGACGTCCATCCATACAAGTTGGGGAGTCTATGAAGGTATACTAGTAGAGCTCACTTCCATTTCCGGTAAAAGTGTGTGGTGAAGAGTTTCGAAGGTTGGTCACGCAAGAAGAAGACGGCAGATTCTTCTTGGCCAGCTGTTGATGATTGGCTTCGTTGGGGAGTTTTTGTTAACACCTTTTTCGAGGCAATCACCTTCGCTTTCGATTAAAACGTGCTAAGCTTTCGTCATTCAAGTAGCGGACCTTATAAGAATGAGCTATCATTCTTGCATTTTCACTTATACGTAGGCCTTCAAGACTCTCAGAACTTTAAGCCCTTTACGTCTTCCAGAAGGCGTAAATCTCATGTAAAACCAGGTATTTTCCACATTACACTTCTGTGATTGGGTTAACGACGAAACAAAGTCGCTATGGCACATTATTTATTTTTAGGTTGTATACATAAAGTGTATAAGAGCTGTATTAACCATATATCGTCTGTATTATCTTTTTTCATTTATACATAAGCTTTCGAGACTATGAACATATCTTATATAGGAGCTGTATTCAGCCTATTTCGTTAAGGGGGATGAAAAGTTAGTAGTTGAATTCAATGAAGATGTGGGAAAATTCAAATACCAATCTTTCATTGCCTTAACTTAATAAGTTGAATAGATCTGATATAGGTGAAATTTTATACATTGCGATTCTTTTATGATTTACAACTAATCTCAGCGGAACCCCCTCCTGGAGCACCTCAGGAAGGCCGTAAGCCCTGGGGACTCAAGTAGCTCTTTTGAGTAATGGACTCATTTTCCGCTTTTTCATTTTACCATTACTTACGCATACCTTAAGTCATCCTTCAGCCTAGTTTTACGTTTCCAGGCTTGATCTCCCTTTGAAGACAGATAAGTTTTAGTGTCATTTAAATTGGCTAGCGGAACACTAAACTGTCTATAAAGTCAGCTGGGTCCAACTGTCAGAAGTGGCCGAACGCATGCCAGAGACTAAACATGAGATAAAATGATATAATAAGAGTAGGTTTGTCAATTATGCTACGTCTGCTGATACAACTAAGATAAGAATGGCTATTGAAATTAATAGATTAGGAAACACGTTGGTTGTGAAGACCACTGGTAAAAATTTGAATAAGAATTATTTATAGAGGTTGTTTGACCTTGTTTTCGCAACTTGGTCATATTGGTAGAAAGACTTAGAGGAACGCATCTAGTCCGTAGTCCATTGTATGCATAACACTTTTTTTGGTACATTCCCAGACGTAAGTCTCATCGTCAAGCCCTTGCTACATCGACCACGTCTCTGGTCCTAATCAAAGCAAGCAGCACCACAACATTTGTTGGTTGGCACACAAGATACTAGGGCAGGGGAAGTCATAGACTTGGTATTAGGGATAGAAACAGGATAGACGCAGCGGCGATGGTAGCTAGTGAGTTGACAGTAGGTCTGTTGTACCATAGACGTGGTCAATGCAGCAAAGGCTTGACGATCAGACTTACTCAGAGGCTTTAGCCACGAATTAGTCACTCAGGCGCATGAGAGAGGTAATAACGTTTCGAGTAGCACAGATGGGGTGTGCAGACGTCGAGTGAAATGTTTGAACCAGGGCGATAGCAGACGAATTCTACAGGGCAAGAGGGAGACTGTGATAAGACCTATGGAAGGAGGATTGCGTAAAAATATGGCAGACTCTGATCAACAAGTGTAAAGGTGGTGAGTGTGAAGAAAATGCCGCTCGAAGGAGCACACAATACCACATCGAAATAAGCACTCTAACAAATATTGTAACAGTGAAGGTGTGATAGGAGGATATAGGAAATGTGAATAGGCCAGGGCAGAAGGGGAGATACCACAACTGTTTAGCACACGTTTGGTTAAAGGATCGGCTTCACTTATCTCTTTGACGAGTTGTTGTGTGGTGCTAAGCATGGCGAGACTTACCGACGATGCCGGCGACACGTCAGGGAATGTACCACGTCCACGATCCTACTCTGTAAATGATGATGTACACAATGGATTCCGGACTAGGTGTGTTCCTCTAAGTCTTCCTGCCAATATTACCGAGTTGCGAAAACAAGGTCAAACAACCTCTAAACAACGAAAGGAGACTGCGACCACACAAAAGACCACATCATCTTGGTCTTCATTTCTTCGAAGAATTATTTATGCCTGATTGATAGATTGAAGGAGAGAGAGAAAGTGCCGAGCCGCTATCTGAAGAAGGCGACTCAACCCGTCGGCCAAGTGATGGTTCTAACCTCATTTACATTCGTTCAACATATAGTTTATGCTCGTCGTCGAAACTAGACGCAATCACAGTCATGCATTTACTTGGTTATTTGAAACCTAATGACCCTAGACTTAGAGGTTATGACAAGTGGTACAAGCTTACAGCACAACACCTCAATCCTGGCATTATCTGCCACGATTTTCCTTGGATCATTAAGCCTTGATAACCTGAGTTCAACAACATGCTTTTGTAATCAATCTGATGGTGTATATGCATTACCACGCGGACACAAACTCAAGTGAAAGTACTATAAACAATATGAAGGGACAGAACTTAATGTCTGTTATTGGTAATCAAGGTTTAATAACTACCACCATCCCTTTTTTCTATTAGTTTAAGCAACACTCTAAACCTATAATGTTGAATACATTTCTGATTAAGCTAATTAGCTCTTTGTCTTCTTCTGAGAGAAAAGGCAGAAACTATGACGTACAGCGAAAGGTATCATTACGAGACGAAGAGCTTAGTAATCCTAGGTCGCTAAGGTTGATGTAAAGACTGATATTTCTGTTTTCTATTTATCAACTATCGTCTATCAATTAACCATTAGTAGTTCTTGGATATGAAGACCAAGATGGTGTGGCCTTTTGTTTGTTCGCAGTCTCATTTAGCTCGTTTTCGTAACTTAGTTGGAGCGACAGGGAGAACTTGTGGAACGAACCCAGTCCTGCGTCCTCTGTTATCGAGCATTCATGATGATCTCCAGCATCGGACCTATGAATTAGTGCATTCACAGACCTTTCAACGACATGCTAATTAGCATCAGCACATAGTTAAAACTTATCACTTTGCTACGTTGTAACTGTGCGCTAAAGATTGCTCTTCTCACTGGCGAAGCCAACTACGATGTTGGCGAAACGTCTGGGAATGTACCGAGTCAACGGCCCAATGATAATTATCCTCAAGAATGGTCCGGCCGAGGACGCAGGACTAGATATGTCCCACAAGGCCTCCCTGTCGCTCGACCAATTTGCTAAAGTATGAGTGATTCATACTTGTACTCCTGAAATCAAGTGTGTTGCCTTATGGGATGGCTTCACTGGCCTCTTTAATTGTGTGCTTAGTTGAAGGAATCTCATATCCACCAAAGCGACAAGCTTGAGAGCATTCAACCTCATGTCCAACTTATACCGTGTGATCCACTAGCGCCGGTATCTGAGACTAACGGCCTCTATAGGATCGTCTGTGCTCAGCCATCTTTTGTCGACTAAGGCAGTCGGTCTCGCTAACATAAACTCAATCACTTGAGCAACTTGATCTGGATAATGGGTCAAATTTCTCTCTACAAGTGGGCATAACTAAAGAAAGTTTCGTAGTGAAACCGTTTTTATTACCCACTTCTTTACTAGTTCGTGCATCATTTAAGCGGGAAGACATGAAGACAAAGTCAAGAAATGGCAAAACATCTACATCTTTTTACCTCATCTTACGTATTCCCCATATAAAAAGACATTTAAAAAAATTAATTTAATGTTATTTTTAATCAGGTCTAGGGGATAATTATTCTCAGGTAGCATTTACGCAAGCCAGTATAGCTCATTATCACTATGCCTTCTATCGGTCAACCTTATGATCAGCATAGATCATAGAATTTCTGTTTAAAACGCCAAATGTCTCATTGCTTTACTTCCCAGTCTCCTGTGCCCCAATCCCTCAAAGCTTGTGGCTGTTTACTTGGTTTGTCTATGTTTACTGTAAAGTCTTCTCTTGATTTCCAACTGTCTTTGCAATAACTTTGCTGTCTCTTCAATCTTCGTCCTCAATCTGTTCGTTTCCTCTGTGCTGATCTTGTTGTCTATTGAACTCCTCCCAGTTTGATTATGCAATGAGCAAAGTTTTCGCCGATCTCGCCTTCTTCCATTCTCTCGTTTGCTTTATTCCTTTCATTAACTCGATCCACGACATCTCTAATCTCGTGTCGCCGTTCTGTTGAATTCTGGTTAATCTAATTTTCCTGTACATGAAATGTGATCTGCTATTTTTTACCTTTCCTTATCTATGCCTCTGCAGACTCTCTTGATGTGGCTTGATTCTTAGACTGATTTTTCTTCCCCTTGTGTCAAAGTATCCTCCTAATTACTGTCAATACGCATTATGTAACAAACTCCCGAGCAATCCTATTTGTTTTCATTTCTCATATTGCATGGTTTAGCTCGTGGAGAATGTAATTATTTCTTTCGTAATCATCGGGACCTTCCATTTTCTTAGCATTAGTCGAAGTTTCTGAAATGGTGGATGGTATTTTTCCTTATTTATAATAGCAATTTCTCACCATAGATGGATATAGAAGCTGGTTTTCTAATAATCCATTCTACCCACCTCAAACCAAATGAAAGGTAGAATAATATGAGCCCACCATTTTACCAATTTTGTAATTTTGTTTTTACTAATAGGCACTTGAGTCAAGGACCAAAGTGTTACGAATAGAAGAGCTCACTGTGTCGTTTCCCTTCGCTTAGCCCTGCCTTTTTGTATCCAGGCTGGACTGAAGTTTTGAACCCGCCTGGAGCTTATTTGCGTTGAAACTAAATTCGAAACCGATTCGTGTGAGTGTGGCGACCAGTTACCACTCCGCCACGCAGCCATGACAGGTCAGATCTGACTTTCAAGGCATACCAGGCCTCTCCCAAATCACATTAATTAATGAGGTACATCATTATTTACCATTACATTCAACGGTATTACTTCGATCTTGAGTAAATATTTTGTGAGAATAGAGGTAAATCTCGCTTCAACTTAGTTCGTCAAAGCTGCTTCAAGGTGTATTATTTTAATTTTCCCACAATTCAACTTTCAGACTTTAATTCTTCTTAAGGCCGAAGTCCCTTTGAGTAGTTATACTTTCTTAATGAGCACAGGTCGCCTTGACTAAGACGCCGGAAAACAGTGCACAAGTGTTTTTTGTGTAATTATAGTTTCGAGACTGCCAGTAAATCAGTTATGAGGTGTATTCATCCTATTTCGTTTGAGGTGATGAAAGAATAGTAGTAGAATATTTCCACAATGATATGAGTAGAGGTGACGTTTCCATTGAATTTCACATAGCCTTGCTGGCCCAAAAGTTGTTCTCATTCAGGCACCAGTGGACTGCAGTTTCGACCTCGCATCGGTCTTATCAACACCC